AGCGAATCGCTCGATTCGCAAACTATGAGATCGGCCTAATGGAAGTTCTATAAGCGTTCGACACGTCATTTACGGAAAGGGTGGAGACAAGAGCTGAGATAGATAATTGTTGGACGATCCTAGAACCATGCAAGATACGATACGAAAAGAATATATTTTGGCTTGGTTGAGGTGTACTCCAGTGTGGATCACGCGATAACGGTAACAGTGTCATATCAAGTACGCCACACCCACATCCGAAACTGTGGGCGGGCAAGAGCTTCGGAAGTCAAGGAGCTTATTTTGGCGCTCCATCACGCCGCTGATGAAGCGCCACCGCCCCGGAAGTACCACCTAATTGTCTCATTGGGTAGGTCTCCTACCCACTCTACTGCGCATCTTTTCGTCCCCATGGGACTTGTCCTAATCGCCCCTAGTGAGGGGGTCAGGTCTAGCTTTATCTCAATGTCAAGACACCGTTCATCGCGTCATCAATCCCTTTCATGGGCGGAAGTGGTGTAGTGGCAAGTGGCGCGCTTACCACGCGAGCGGTCCGGGATCAAATCCTGGGTCGTGAGTCGCCCGGGCCAACCAAGCCTTCCATCCCTCCGGGGTCGGTTAATTGGTACCAGACTTGTCTGGGAGGATAAAAACACTGACTTGTACATCGGCTGGCCCCCGCAAGTCATGCATATGTAGGCCAATCGCATTCAAATGTCAATACGATTCTGATTGAAAGTAGATGCATGGCGCAAATTTCGCATTACCGCTCTGGTGAAAGGAGTGCTCGGAAATTCAAAGGCAACTGTTGTACGAATTGGAGGTATATAAAGTACAACTATAAGAATTATGTGATCACTGACTGTTCGTATAACCAATTATTGTGCAATGGTAAATGATTGAATGGCAAATCAGAAGAAAAATAAATTAGACAAGTCATATGAAATTAGGAAAGATAATAGAAAACGCGTACTTCGCCTTCTTTGTCGAAGAGCATCGTTTGCACGTTCGAACCGTTACCGAATGAATTCTCAGAATCGAATACAAGGGATTCGGGAGGATCGTGAATTCCACCTTGTCGTTTGCCAGACTGGAACTAATGTAATCGAACTACGCCGTCAAAACGCTCATTGCAATTGTTAATCGCACACACGTTTTTTTTTTTTTCCCCAAAAAGCAATTGAAATTACGCACTGGAAAGGCTAAAGCGTTATGACTTACTCCTAAATTCAGAATCGGCAATGGCAATGGGATTTGAAAAGGTGCGTACATTTCGGGTCAACGAGGAAGCTCCCCCGCCTCCATGCTCGGCCGGCAATTTTGCTGAGAAATGTGGAGGAATTGGCTATGTGGACTGGTTTACAAAAAATATTGCTCAGAAAAGCAGTTGCTGATGAGGAGGTTGGTGGCGATGGTTGGGGGAGTGAAAAATCGTCTTAAGGGAGGCCCTGCCCCAAAAGCAGATGGAGGAGTGGAAGGTCTTCAATTTTTGAAAAGTACGATGTGAGTTTCTCCGGTTGGTTGTATTAGGGGTTCGTGAAGGTGATTGAAAGGGTTGAAAATGGAAGGGCGTATTCTTCGCGAAACGTTAGCGGGGATTGTGGCGGTGGAGAGGTGAGGGGAGGCAGGGTGAAAATCGGGTCCGACGGAGCGGCAACGGCCGTTTTTTAGTGATTTTCACCTGTTTTATCTCGCCTCCGCGCGCACATTCCACTCTCGCCAGCGGCGAGGCCGGTCTCTTGCCTCCGCTCGCACATTCATTCTCAGCTATTACTCTTCAGCCACAGCAGAGACAGTGGTCGAGGTATTCTTCGACCGGAGCACCCGGTTGGGGAGGTGGTTGCGTCTTTGGCCTCCTCCTCGCTTCCCGCTCGGCGGCCTGCTTGTGAACTTTGTTAAAGTGGGCGGAGTTGGGCGGGGTGTCAGGTGCATCGATTTTGCGTCTCCCGAAATCAAATGCTACAGAAATGAGTCGTTTGGTTGGCTGGACGGCGCCGTACGACCAAGGATCTGACCTCCGGACCGTGCGCATTACAACAGATCTACTTGCCCCTGCACCACCTCTGCACAAAATTCGTCGATAGATTGTTAAAATACAATAGTCGGGTTAGTGAGGCAAAGCAGACATGTTATGGGTCCGCGTAATGTTTTTGAATGCTATTGAGAGTGTAAACAACCTGCCAAATCGATTTTTGCTACTCTTCTCAAACTGAAAGGACGATTTAACTTGCCTCACTTTCACACTTTTTCCGCCTTTGAGCACGAAATCCGCAGGGAACGTGTAGACGATTTCATGTTTTCCATCTATCTTCCTCTTGAGCTTCCACCCTCCAATGGGTTCTTCTCTGGAGCGATGTGTGTTCTCAAGTATCACATAGCTTCCATCCGGCGAGGGATCCTGCAAGACAAATACAGCGGCGCTGTTATTTTCACAGAAGAAAAAAATCCGATAGAATATTTTACTTGCTGGTTAGTAATTACGGCTATTTTTTAGCCACTATTACTTCCTAGCTTAGTCAATTAATTTACCTGAATGGAGACATTTCCTTTGGCTGAACGGCTGTACAACATACGAGTAGAAATTCCTCGATTCTGAACGAGCATGGTCTCTGGAAGTACACAAATTGAATCACACAAGAACCATTCAGCCACCGAAGTCTCCGCCCACCAGTTTGAGCGGCATCGTTGATTCCTGTGGTTCGAATGACAAAGTACTGCGGAAGTATTTTGCCAGCCCTCTGTTGCAATTCTCCATGATGAGAAAACCCCGCGATAAAATTGGCGTTCTCATCACGGGGCTTCTTTAAGCGCTTATTTCTTTGAAAGCGCTCTCGTTCGAGATCGTCAATGACGATATGTCGAGTACAATGCCCTTTCTGCCTCGAGCCGAGCAGCCGTGTTTTACCAAAACCTGGCCTTCGTAGATCTTACGATTCTGAGCATTTCGCTGTTCAGACTCCTAATAATCTTTCGTCATCGTCTTCTGGTAATTCCTCTACTCCATCTTCTTCGGTACCTAGTTCTCAGTAAGGTAAGATATCTAAAAAGTTATATGTATACCCCTTTCAAAAAACGAGAAGAGCGTCGGGTGCAGACCATACACCACAAGTGACGACGGCCTCCAAATCTGGTTAGTAGTGGTTCATAGTGATAGCTGATTTTTGGTAAATGATAGTTGTAATTAGTGACAACTGATAGAATACAACTGCAACAGGCTAATCATTTCATTGGCAGAAAACATTTACATTTTGTGGAGGCCGTCGTCACTTGTGGTGTATGGTCTGCACCCGACGCTCTTCTCGTTTTTGAAAGGGAGTATATGTATATAGTTTCAACTTCAAATAGAAAGGAATATATAAGTTCCTGAATCTAATGACACCTATGACTCCCTTTTGCTTGAGATGTGTTTATTCGACACCAAAGAAGTTTCATATTGATTTGATTACGGCGTTTTCCCATATTTCACCAGCCACCCTGATTTCGATCTATTTCCCTTGAATTTTCAGCCTCTACCAGAGCTCCACTGGGGCTGGTGTCCTTCATCTAGCAGAGAATGCATCAGGTGATGGCAATTCCAGATGGCACGTGCACTTCTGTGTGCACCATGGAACGCTGATTTCAAATCTGCCTTCCAAATCTGCTAAACGACTCTCCGAACGGAGTTATGAAGCGTAATAGCTCAGTGGTAGTGGTCCAGGCTCTCAGCCAGAGCTCGTGGAATCGGTTCTTTGGTTATTTGCTTTTCTCCGGTTGCTGCGTTGCACGTTTGCTTTTGCCAGCAACACGGATAAGAACGCTTATTCATATTCAAGCCATTAGTTCTTGCCTGCAGTTGCCCTATGAACAAAGCGAAAAAATCTGGGTTACACTAACCCATAACTGGCCATATCGCCCGTAGTGCAGCGCCAGGTGTTTTGCCGTCACGCCGATGTGTTATTGAGAGCACGCATACTTACACAGAAAGAGTCACCATGTGAAATGCGAGAATAGGCAATTATAGAGGGGCGAATGACGGGTAAACCACTTATCACAGGGGATCATCACATGCCAGTCTACTACCAGTTTTCTGTCGTCGCGCCGCCGCGGCGAGAGGCAAATTTGCGCGCGACACGCCGATTGGATTGACGAACACCAAGTGCAGATTTTATGAGTGAAGTGGGAAATGTAGGCGCGGCACCAGGAGGACATGGGCCAAGGGCACGACACATACTACGTGATGCTCTGGTGAGGGTGTAGTCCTGAGAAACCAACGATTTTTGCCTGCGCTGGGGCAACAGCCATCATTATTAGCTGTTCAATCTCCAGATAGCAGAGGGTCCATAATTCTTATAAAAAAGTGCTAATTTTTGGCTGTTCTTATCAGCTATATGTTTGCTGGGAACATTTGATAAGAGTTTCTCTTATTCTCCGGGCGACCTTTTTTTATCCTGGGACCCTTGTCACCTCTTTTTAATAAACCAAACAAACCAAATCAACGGACCTTTGTCTACACTAATCAGTTGACCACAGGCTATGTAACCATAGTTGGCAGGATTCGATCATCGGATCCCACTCATCGTTAAAATATCGGTAGCGTTGTGAGAACCCTCGCACAGTCCACTGTCAACAGGGTAGTTGAGATCGTATCGTCAACGCACGATTTCTCGAACGTCATGGTATCAAGTAATCGAGACAGATAGAGGGTGGGACCTTTGAACTTCAAGTTCTCATGTTGTGATGCTGTGTGCCATACATCCTGTATTTTAAATGAATCTTGCTGTAGTTTAAGGAAACACCCCACGACTTAACGAAATGAGTTTCTCTTTAGGAAGAGTAAAAAGGAATCGCGTACGTCGAGAACGGTAAAACTAATA